TTCTAGACATATAATACGGGCTGCAACCCCAAGACAATATTTTTCAAAAGCTATGAGCTGAACATTTTAATTCTACTGTATTACTAGAAGGAGTTGTGTATCCTTTCGTTATATTTTCCAAATTTTTCTACAGGTCAGTATTGCTCTACATAGGTTCAAGTAATTGTTGAGAAGAGTGACTGCAAAGTATTTACTTTAAATATTAGAAATTACTTTATATTTGTCTTTTTTCTTAGGTATGTTGTTGCATATTGTTGTTGCTGTAAAGTACTGTAAAAATGAGTTCACCCCCTCTTATAACAAGTACTGATAATAATAATATATTAAAATACTACAAAGGATGTGAAAAAAATCTTCTTTGTAGTTCGTTTATAAATAATAATAATAAAATTTTTCTTACTTATAATATGTGTCGTACCCAAAACAAAAAAAAAAAAAGTAAAGACCGACCAGAACTTGATAATGAAATAATTGTAGATTTCCATAACTTTTATGATTATATAATATAATTTTTTAATCTATTTAATGTCAGTAACTTTAATGAGGATCAAGAAAATTTAAAATCTTTAGAATTTAAATTTTCTTATACAATTAATATTTCTATATTAGAAGGCGATTCTAAAGAATGAACTAATAATATAATTGAAATCATATCAAATGTAGATGAATATAAATAGATGTAAGTTTTAGAATTAAAAAAATTGCTATTTCTTGCATTTGAATAAATGATATTTCTTTTAGCAAAAACTGAATTCAGTTTTTGCTATAAATAATACAAAAAAAAAATTAAACATAATATTTAATTTTTATGTTAATTATTATTTAGATATCATCTAAAATATAACACCCAAAAGTCTAGTTCGATAACTTACATTTATTATTGTTCATAAAGAAATTGTTTGGCTGAAAAGCTAAAAAAACATATTAATATTAATAAACATCATGATAGGTAATCAATTGAGTGATTTTTTTGCAAAGGCCAAGTTACAATTACTATTTCTCAAGATTTTGCCCTTGCTAAAATAGAGATATATTATTACCTTCATCCAACTTGTTTAGATAATTCAATTTCTTTAGAGATAAAACAATATATTCTTAAAAATATTGATTTATTTCCTCGTGAAATATATAAACATCTTGTAATACAAAACTTAAATACTAATATATACCAAAAACAAATACATTTTTGGTAGACTGAACTGAGTAAAAAAAGATACAAACATGATGAAAACTCTTTTATTTCAACACAAAAATAGTTAATAGAGAAATTGCACCAAATAATAATTCAAAAGGAAACTCCACAAGCAATAGGATTTTTAACTAGAATCTGAAATATAATTAAAAATTTTAATATACAAATTGATGAAATTGGAGTTGATTCTACATGTAAATATAATAACTTATTATCTATATTATAAAATAATATATTCTATAATAATATATGAAGTCTTTGCTATATAA